TCACCTACTACAAGCTACAGCGAGGGGGGCAACTGGATGCTGGCTGGAACAATGCGAGATGAGCGCTGAGAGATGAGAATGAAATGCTCAAGTGTTCGGCGCATTCGGGCGTAAATTGCAGCATAATCTCTTCCGGATATGATTACGGTCTTAAGTGATCCAAGCGAGGCAGCTGGACGCGGCACACAGAGTGAGCGAGACAGAGAGAGAGAGCGAGGGAGGGATAGAGTGAGGTCACATTGTTGCCTTGCTGTTGTCATCTTGTCATCTTTGGCTAAATGCTGTGACCTATCAGCTTTGTATCTTTATCAGCGCGAGTGCAATATGTTGTGATTACAATTTTCATCGTAAAAAGCTAAAGCTGCATTTTCTCATCTTTCACAAGGCACAAGGGCTGTTTTGTCTTGGGCCCAAGTGCTCGGTGCTCGGTGCTCGGTGCTCTTAGCTCTTAGCTCTTGTGTCTCGCGCTACGATTATGGGCATCCAGTAAGTATGTGGGCGTAAAACACTTAGTGCTGCACGAGCGTGGTACGTTGTCAACAACATGTTGGTATTGTTTTTAATTGTGCCGTTAATTGTCGAGGTGACGACCCATCCCATCCCCCGGCCTCCACTGCTGCTCACCTATGACACGACCCTTCCTGCGAGTGTATTAATGCTTGGCAACTATTTAACATGACCATGCGGATGCATTGAGGATTAGCAAGTCTACCTATTCGAGTTGAAACAGATTGGCATTATTATATATATAGCAAGCCGACTGGCCAATGCCCTGATTGCAAGGCAAATGTTAACTTGACTTGCCTGCAGTTGCTGTTGCTGCTTACCTGCTGCTTCTCTTGCACCTTGGAATCGGGCGTTATCCCTCATTAGCCTTAAATATGGAACTCTTCTATATGCTCCAGCTCATCACTGTCAACAGACTCTCCATCTGCATAGTACTAATAATAATATTAGTAATAATAATCTAAGCAGTAGCCACGCCCCACAGTGGTACCCAGTAGGCGTGGCTAGCTAAATTTCCAGCCTTGGCAGACTCCAACGGGGTTTTCTTTTCTGTTATCTACTAATTAATATATATATAAATCGTTTCGCAATTGCTTTTGACTAGTAATTGGTGGGGGAGATGCTCATAATGGATGCTGTTGATGTGGTTGTCAAGCAAAATCGTAAAGCTAAATGCATAAAAGCCAGCCCAGCACAGCCCGGGCCACATTATACTCAGTCTATATGTGTGTAGCATATTCATGGCCTGTCAGGCAGCACAAATGGGCAGCAAGGCGTTTTTGTGTCGTGGTGTGAAAAAGCGTGTAAGGAGTTGACATAAAGCCGACGACTACGACTGGCGACTGGCGACTGGCGACAATGGGCAACGGGGCAGGATGGTATCCCGGATCGCTGCGAAATCTGCATTGGAAGCTGCTGAACCGAACTAATTGAGCCGCGTTACATCAAGTTGAATGCATTTGAATGTGTTGCCCGCCGAGCATCATCATCAACAACAACAACAACGGCAGCAGCAGCAACGAGAGATCATCGCTGTACATTGCCACAGCTTCTATCTATCTAGTCAGTTCACTTCAGTGTGGGAAATGGAACAACTGCCTTGAGTCTTTCAGACATTCAGCTACACTTGCATAATGTGTTAAGCATATTCGTGCCCGCACTCACCCAGACACAACATACAAATAGCAAGCCGAAATGCTTAGCTCGACAGTTCAGGTCTTAGTTTGCTAACATAACATTTTCAAACAAATATTTCTATGCATTCGAAATAGAACTTTGAATGCCTTTTGCTCGAGCTGTGTTAGAAGAGTCTAACTAGAGAGCTCGCGCTAGTTGAGCTGATTGAGTGGCCCAGTCATTTGGGCAACTGAACAACGGGACTCTCCTGCCGGAAGTCGCTCAAATTCCAATCTAAAACAAGTTGAGACTCGGGTCGGCAGTGTATGACTATGAGACCAGCTTGTTGATTTAGCCTTCTGTATTCAGTCTTCCAGCTTCCATCTTCCATCTTCCACTCCCAGCGGCTGCGGCATCGTCCATCCCAGCCCCAGGGCCAGCGGCCAGGCCCCAGCGGCCAGCGGCCAGCGGCATCGGCCATCGGCCAGCGCCATCGGCCACCAGCGGCAGCCTCCATCGGCCATCGCCCACGGCCAGCGGCCAGCGTCCATCTTCCATCTTCCATCTTCCATCTTCCATCTTCCATCTTCCATCTTCCATCTTCCATCTTCCATCTTCCATCTTCCATCTTCCATCTTCCATCTTCCATCTTCCATCTTCCATCTTCCATCTTCCATTCCTCTTCCATCTTCCATCTTCCATCTTCCATCTCATCTTCCATCTTCCATCTTCCATCTTCCATCTTCCATCTTCCATCTTCCATCTTCCATCTTCCATCTTCCATCTTCCATCTTCCATCTTCCATCTTCCATCTTCCATCTTCCATCTTCCATCTTCCATCTTCCATCTTCCATCTTCCATCTTCCATCTTCCATCTTCCATCTTCCATCTTCCATCTTCCATCTTCCATCTTCCATCTTCCATCTTCCATCTTCCATCTTCCATCTTCCATCTTCCATCTTCCATCTTCCATCTTCCATCTTCCATCTTCCATCTTCCATCTTCCATCTTCCATCTTCCATCTTCCATCTTCCATCTTCCATCTTCCATCTTCCATCTTCCATCTTCCATCTTCCATCTTCCATCTTCCATCTTCCATCTTCCATCTTCCATCTCCATCTTCCCATCTTCCATCTTCATCTTCCATCTTCCATCTTCCATCTCCATCTTCCATCTTCCATCTTCCATCTTCCATCTTCCATCTTCCATCTTCCATCTTCCAGCTTCCAGCTTCCAGCTTCCAGCTTCCAGCTTCCAGCTTCCAGCTTCCAGCTTCCAGCTTCCAGCTTCCATCTTCCATCTTCCATCTTCCATCTTCCATCTTCCATCTTCCATCTTCCATCTTCCATCTTCCATCTTCCATCTTCCATCTTCCATCTTCCATCTTCCATCTTCCATCTTCCATCTTCCATCTTCCATCTTCCATCTTCCATCTTCCATCTTCCATCTTCCATCTTCCATCTTCCATCTTCCATCTTCCATCTTCCATCTTCCATCTTCCATCTTCCATCTTCCATCTTCCATCTTCCATCTTCCATCTTCCATCTTCCATCTTCCATCTTCCATCTTCCATCTTCCATCTTCCATCTTCCATCTTCCATCTTCCATCTTCCATCTTCCATCTTCCATCTTCCATCTTCCATCTTCCATCTTCCATCTTCCATCTTCCATCTTCCATCTTCCATCTTCCATCTTCCATCTTCCATCTTCCATCTTCCATCTTCCATCTTCCATCTTCCATCTTCCATCTTCCATCTTCCATCTTCCATCTTCCATCTTCCATCTTCCATCTTCCATTTTCCATTTTCCATTTTCCATTTTCCATTTTCCATTTTCCATTTTCCATTTTCCATTTTCCATTTTCCATTTTCCATTTTCCATTTTCCATTTTCCATTTTCCATTTTCCATTTTCCATTTTCCATCTTCCATCTTCCATCTTCCATCTTCCATCTTCCATCTTCCATCTTCCATCTTCCATCTTCCATCTTCCATCTTCCATCTTCCATCTTCCATCTTCCATCTTCCATCTTCCATCTTCCATCTTCCATCTTCCATCTTCCATCTTCCATCTTCCATCTTCCATCTCCATCTTCCATCTTCCTCTTCCATCTTCCATCTTCCATCTTCCATCTCCATCTCCATCTTCCATCTTCCATCTTCCATCTCCATCTTCCATCTCCATCTTCCATCTTCCATCTTACCATCTTCCATCTCCATCTTCATCTTCCACTTCATCTCCATCTTCCATCTTCCATCTCATCTCATCTTCCATCTCCATCTTCCATCTTCCTTCATCTTCCATCTTCCATCTCCATCTTCCATCTTCCATCTTCCATCTTCCATCTTCCATCTTCCATCTTCCATCTTCCATCTTCCATCTTCCATCTTCCATCTTCCATCTTCCATCTTCCATCTTCCATCTTAAATCTTCCTTCTGCTTTCTGCTCCTTTTTCCCATTATTTTTCTTCCATCTTCCCTCTTCTACCTTCCCTCGTATTCTTTCTTCTGGGAGAGTCTCTATGCCGTCGAGTTCAAGCGCCTGATTTCCTCTTCGTAACTCTGGTGGAAGAAACCTCCACCAATTAGTGTCCATGCCGTGGCTTAGTTCAATATTGATACAATTTAATTGAACCCCAATGGCTGAAAATGTATCAATGGCACTTTCCTTGGCTTTGGGTCAACAATCAACTGAACAGCCACGAAACGAAGTATTGACGGTCTCCCACACGTGCATTCCAGTTCGGTATAGTCCCATTGAATTGCCTGCCACATATGGTGGCGCAAACAGGGGGTATCAAGTTTTAAAGCCAACACGCACACCAGCTCCAGTTTGAGTTTGAGTTTGAGCATCGCAAAGGGTGTTCATTGCATCACCTGCTGTGCTGGTCAGCCCTTTGATAGCTTTAATGAAGCTAAATTTGCCATACACCAACTGTGTGACTGCCAATTTCATCTAAATTGCTATTGAGTTGTGCAATGGAGTCCATTGAAAGAGGCGAGGGGGAGTGGCCAGTGGCCATCAATAATGAGCTGGGTCGATCTAGCCATATGTATCTTTAGCTGCAAAAGCTGAAGACTTTCAATGTTAAATATATTATTTTGAATACCATTTTATCGATAACTATATATAACGTCAATAATCGATAGACATGTTTGAATGCCATTGAAACAGCAAAGTGGATCAAGAATTCACTGCAAAAGCTGAGACTTTCAATGTTAACTAAATTATTTTGAATACCATTTTATCGATAACTATATATAACGTCAATAATCGATAGACATATTTGAATGCCATTGAAACAGCAAAGTGGATCAAGAATTCATTTCCTATAATCTAGTGTGTGTTTGATTATATAAATTAGTTTTTAGATTTGATAAAAACACGGTTAGAGTTGCACGACAATAGATTTTTATTAACCATGTTTAATAAGGCCTATTATTCTTAGAAGCATCAAGAATATTCGTACAACATCAATGTAAATGTTGAGTGCGGCCAAAATATAATCAGATTCGCTATACTGATTACTATGCCTTCCAACCATTAACTGTATGTCATACACCAAGTACAAAGAGAACAACAGCAGACCCAAACAAGCATATATCCAATTAAGAACTGTACCGCCTATGAAGCTGGCCAGAAGTCCTATACCAAAAAGTATTATTCCCGCCACACATAGATATGGGCCATATCCAGTAAAATCACATGGCAAAAACAATGCGAAGAGAGTGAGGCACGTGCAGAGAAGGACCGTTATTCCCAAAGCGTACAGAATCTTCGGAGGTAAACAATGAAAGAGGAGAAGGAGTAACCGACTTCATAATACCGGTTCACGATCCCAAAATAGTTTAGTCTAGCTGTATAGCTGTGGCGCATGTAGGTGTATACGAGTTGACACCGGTGTATATAAATCTGAATATATTTCAGATCAGATCAGATCAGACTTAGCCTCAAATATTATCGGTTAATATTCGATTACTTTCAAAACTTTCTTGAACAATCTTAAGTTTCATTTCATACAAACTGATGGAGAGACGGATGAACAGATAGGCTGATAGACAGGCAGACAGACAGACAGACAGACAAACAAACAGACATCGCAACAAAGCTATACACTATGCTTTTTGTTCACTTCTCGTAAACGACTATTTACGGAACTTGAAGCACTATTACTCACCAAATTGATTTCATAATAAACTGTCACACTGCAGACCAGAATAGTCGCAAATATAGTATACAGAAATAGTAGTACAGAGCCGACAATTGGATGTCGTGCAAGGGATCTACAACAATATAATATAAAACTGATGACGATCATTCCACCCGTTCCTATATAGCACATATACCAGTACTGCAGAAAAAACGATTTCGCTGGATCTATGAACAGGACTCCGCAAGTAATTGCTGCAGTAAACGCCATTTGGAACTGAGAGGATCGAAGCGTATCAATTTCTAAATATAAGAATCATTTTGAGAAATTCCTCTTACGGCAATGATTGTGAGGACTTTACTGATGAAGTGACGCCGTGTCCCTTCATCGCCCCAGTCTGTGCCTTCTGTGTGATCCTCATCCGAGTCATAATTAACGCGCCGCATTTCGTATTCGTTGTGTTTCTATGTCTTGTACTGTGATTTAGTATAAAGTCTATTGTATTATTGTATTGCGTATAGTTTTTCAAGCTAACTAGATTATATGTTATTTGTATACTTATATGTATATACATATATGTACAACGACAGATATGCTAATTACCTGCTTTATTTGTCACTAGCGAAATATCCTTAGATCACAACGCATAAGGCCAGCTTCGTGATTAAAATCGATCATCAAACTTTACTGTCTGGCCATAAGTTCAGAATTTGATTTTACATACAATTTTTTGACACATCAATAGCTTCGGCATGGCATAGTATATACTTAATCTGTGTGGCTTAAGCATTTCAGTATCATATATAGTTCAATATAAATCGTTAAGGTTAGGCAGAAGATAACACAGTATTCTACCCTGGAACTATTTGAATATGAACACAGAAAAGTAAATTTCATCCAAATTTGACTACATCGGTTCGGATCTCTTGCATAGTTTTTGATTTATATTGAATTATTCTAATATAAAATCCATCTAGAACAGTTTATTGCTAACTGATGTTTAGAAAAGTGAAATTTCTTGACTGCGTGGAAAACTTGCTTAAAATAATTTCCACAACACTTTCTGTTACAAATGTATCAAAATAAGATTTGTTTGAAGAATTCACTGTACCCAGCAGTACAGCAATAACTTAGCTTCCAAAATCATTTGACTGTACCTAGTTCTACTAACGCTGGTAAAAACAATTGTAACTTTGAACGAACTGTAAAAGCCAGCTTCGACACATGATATTTCAAATAAAATGTATTCAATTTAAATTTAACATTTTCTACATTTTGTTTCTTAAAAAAAAAAACAACCAAATATGTTGAAATTTTGTAAACATATTTGACTTGTAAGCAGAAGCAACGAGCTGCTCTCGTATAAACATTTAAGAAATTGTTGGTCCCTCTTTTAGTGTCGCTGCTAAAAATCATGTTATTTATTTTATTTCATAGTCTCACAATTTATAGATTCGCTTTTATACTAAGTAAATTCATGTTTAGTTTGTGTATAGTTAAGTGATTAATTCGGTTAGGGGTTGGCCACTGCCCAAACATGGAAAACACATTTTATATGTAATATGTGCACACATATGTACCAAATGTGATATTTTATTGCATGGGTCGAGACGAGGTTTTAGAGTCAGTTGCACCCCGAAGCAAGATAAGTGTAAAATTCAATTTACAAACAGCCTGGAGCTTGATATTATTGTTAGTAATAACTAACGGAAACAAAGATGAAAATACAATGTTAATATTTTAAAAATTATGCATTTGTTTTGTATTACTTTCGATCAAATTACAAATCTATAGTTTTTCTTGTGTTTTGCTTTTCTTTTTTTTGTTTTATAGAGTGAATAGCATTAATGGACATAAATAATGTTTTTAGGGTTTTTGTTCTATAATAGGTTAAGTTAATTTTAATACATTTTCGTTTAGTTGTAAATTATTGTAATGTTAAATTGTAGAATATATATTTTAAGAGTTTTAGTTTCAATGCTTAGGTATAAGTGCTTCAAGTAGAATCAAATAATTAAACTTTAATGTACACAGAACAGAGTTTATAGATTGTATAAGAGTATATATATAATAATAATATTTGTGTTAACAAATTATACAAATCTTCAAATTCCGTCAACAAGTGTTTTGATGCCTTGTTGAATTATATCTGTGTTGGCTTGTTTATAAGGTAAAGAATCGCAAAATAATTATTAGCCATAAAATATTTTGCATTTTTTTTTGTTTTTTGCTAATTGGTGTAATCATATGTTGTATAGTTCTATGGCCAATTTCTTTTTTGACATGGAAGAGAAAAACAATTGAATTACGCTTGGACTTCCGCCGACGTAGACGCAGACGCACGTAACTTAAATAACACTTAACAAATATAAATTGCTTATAGACCTTAAAGCGCTAAGAATTCAATTCACACTTTACAAAAGTGAATGAATCTAGACCAAAGCAAAAAAATGCACGCTCACAAATACGCAAAAATACTTAAGAGCTACAAAACCTGACTAAAATATAAACAAAAAAAACTGAACCATTACAATAACTATTAATGTATATATATATATATATGAATTACAAATAAGTTGGTATTTTAGTTTGTTGTTTGCCATTTGCCAGTTTTAGTGTTTTTGTTTTTGTTTTGAAGTGTTTAAATTTAATAAATATTAGTTCTGTTTTAATCCATTTAGTTTGTTTGCTCGTGTCATTTGTCATTTGTTATTATCATTAACCTAATATAAACGCTACACACTAGGAGTTATTCTCACAGTCGTCGGGTTTGTGCTTAGTGCGTAAATTGCTCAATAGATCGGCACAGTTATTGACCATCATAAGATAATCGCCATTCTCCAGATTGCCTGTTCCTGATATCTGTTCACGATTGTTAAGTTCTCCAATATCTGCTCCACCTGCCCCACCAATATTATAGCTTGGTCCTGAGGGCGATTTCTCGTTTTGTCTGCAAATTTCAAAATGTGAACATAAGTAAGTCGATAATTTATTGGTTTCCAATTCGATTGTGGCTTTACCGATTGTGAGTTATACTGCCAAGCATATTGCGGGACATAATCACAGCGTTTTCCAATTCCTTTAGTAGCAACGAGTTCTTCAGATTCGCGTGCAGCTGCATTGCCGACTGCGTCGTCGTGTACAGCTTGTTGATCACATTGTGCACCAGGGCCTCAGCTGCAAATATAGATTAGAATTTGTTTCAATTTCTTGTCTGTTTATTGATATTGTGCAATGACTGTCGTTTGTCTAGAGTTGGACACCAGCGTAGTCTCCAGAGCATAATCTCCAAGTATGTCGACAACCGTTTTACTATCCACTATCTTATTCAACTGCATCAATTTATATTAGCTTCATTCACAATTCGTCACATTTTCTCTTGATTTTATACGATATTTAACCAAATTATCATTTAGTCTGGATTATTTTAAAGTCATCTACAATCTTTTACACCTTTCTCTTCCCTTCATATTTCACTACTTACATTCAGCAGCTTCGTAGTCATCGAGTCCGCCAGCCCGCTGCTTGCCCGCTCCAGCATTGGACGCGTTGCTGTTTACTTTGCTCTTGTGATCGAAGCCCAGATTGCGAGGCCTGGGCGGCACCACAGGCTTATTGCCTGCTGCGACATTGGGTGTCTCCTCCGAGCTGGAGTCGTCTTGCATATTGGTGCCTAATACAAATTGATATTTAGTTAATTGTTCAGTTCACATTAATTTAGGCTTAGTCAATAAATTTACCACTGTTGAAACTTGGAGCTTTGCGTCGATTGCTGTTGGCGTTGGGGTTTTTGTTGCTGTACTGTCGAGAGGTAGCTGTAAAAGAAAAAGAGTAATTAAAATTTAATGTGCGTCAGTTTATAGAGTGTGCGTTAATGCTCACAGTGTGGCTTATTAAAAATGATATATAACTATAACTATTTTATATAGATGTAAAGGAAATATTTGAATGATCTGTCGAGCTAGTTATGTTCTGCAGGAAGTCTTTGATCTCGTATATATTTAAGCATTTCCCAATCTTATTCTCAACTTTAATAAGTACAGAGCATCTCCTAGTTGATCACTCAATTAAATTCATTCCCCTCATTTGCTTATCGTAAAGAAAAACCCACCAATGGCTCCACTGGTCCGACCTTGCCCACTGCTCGCGCTGCGCAATCGATTGAGGTCCTCTGGCTCCGAATCACTCTATAAAAATAATCAATTTTAATGCAACTGGAAGCATTTTGGAACATATAGAAAATACTCACGACAAGATTGAGCACATTCATGGAGTTGCTGGACGCGCCCAGGGCTGATTTGCCCTGCAGACTGTTGCGTTTGCTGGCCGAACGAGTCACGTTGCCATTGCGATGCTGAGCCACTGGCTTTTGAGGCGTGCCATTGGCTTTGCTGGCTGCAGATGAGATGAGAGCAGATGGAAGAGGCGATTAGTGTTAGCTAGAGAGACGTGATGGGAGTTTGTCGTGGCGCTTACGCTTGCCAAAGTTTCCCATATGCAGATCACTCAGCGAGCAGGCGCGACGAATGGACGACTCCTCAATGGGTATGGGATTGAGCAATTTGGGATTACCTGTAAGTAAGGCGTACACGGTTATTATTTAAAAGGGGTTCACATGCCGGGGCTGGTGCTACATGAATTAACTCTGTGCCGAGAAGCAAATAAAAATGCGTGTGCGAACAAATAGAACTTATATAGTGAGAGAGAGAGAGAGAAAACAAAAACTGTTTGTGGTTTTTACAACATCGAGGCTCAAGCGCTCAAACCTTGTAGACGATCGCTGATCCGGCCCTGCTGAGGATCGCTTTTAGCATTCATTTTATCACCGTCCGCAACGAGATGTATGAATTCATTGGCATCATCATCATCGGCGATCACCTCCTTGGCCAGCTCCACGTCATTGCCATTGTCATTGCCATTGTCATTGTCATTGTCATTGTCATTGCCATTGCCATTTCCATTGCTGTGCGTGCGATGGTAGCCAAAGTCCGAGCTCTCCAACACATCCGGCAGGCTGCAATTTCTGCGTATGTGACGCGCGTACGCGCACAGATCCGCATCACTGGAGAGCATCTGGTCGGCGAGTTGCGACTGTTGATCCTGGGCACGGGCCAGCATATCGAAATTCATTGTTAGACTCTTCACATAGCCCTTCTCCTTTGAGTTGCAGGCAAAGGGACGCAAGCGTGTCTCGGTGGCCTTTCTTATCTGCTCTATCTTACGCTCCTCCATGCCTATCAATTTCTCTATGATGTCTATTTTCTTGGCTATATCCTGGCACTGATGACTGGTGGAGTTGTTGCCGCTGTTGGCACCACCACCAGAGCGCTCCACATTGTCCATATTCTTTTTGTGCTTGACACGTTCCTGTTGTATGTCATCGACTACAGCTTGCAGCTCGGGCTTTTTATATAGCTTCAAGCTTTGCATGTTCTCCATATTCTCGGGCGCGTTGCCGTTCTCGGCAAAGAACATCTCGAAGCTACGCTCGCCGCCATAGTCGCTGGGCAGACTGCCCACCAGCGGCGCCTCCGACTCCACCTCCGTCTCGGACTCGATTGCATTGCTGTTGACATCATTGAGGTTCGCCTGCTCCCTCTTCGCACTGGGCGTATACTTGATTTGCGAAACGGTGTTAAAGCGTACGCTGATCTTAGGACGTGATTTCTGTCGCACGCTCGTGGCACGACGACTGCTCTCATTGGTGTCAAAGCGCGATACCTTCTTCAGGCAGCTGTGCGTAGCCAAGGCGCCGCTGCTCACAGAATACCTCATGGCCGACGCCGTGGGCCGCTGTTGCGTTCGCTGCTTTTCACGCTCAAACTTCAGCAAATTGTGCTCGAACTGACGCACCACCGTTGCCGTTCTAGAGGTGCCCACGCTGGGCTGATTCTTTTCCACACTGCACGTTAGCGTCGAGACCAGATTCTGCGGCTTGACTGGTATAGGTGGCTTCGCCTTGAGTTGCTTGCGCACAAACATCAACTGATTGTTCGATCGAGCTTCTGGCTGAGCTTGAGACTGCGCCAGCGGATTGGAGTTGCGCTGCTGTCGCTGCTGGGCAAAGTCCGTGCTCAGGCTTTTATTCACGCCCGAAGTGTATTGCTTGTTCTTGGAGCGCATGGAGGGTATGTGCTCCGCAGCAGCTGCAGCTGGCACTGAGGCCAGACGCGGATAGGTTTTCGAGCTGGGCAGCGGATTAAGCGGCTTCAGATTGTAGCCAGTGACATCGAAGCTGTCGTAAGTAGCTGCAGAGGCTGCTGCGGCTGCCTCCTGGCGCATATAGTAATCGAAGCTGCCATAGGCATTCGGACTGCTGCCATACGACTTGGAGACGGGTCCATGCAAAATAAAGTTGCGTATGCCCGCATGACACTGCATGGCCTGCAGCGGCCTCTGCGGATCAAGCGAGGGCTCGAGCGGTGCGCTCTTGCAATCGCTTTCGTCGGAGAGCACGCTATCGAGACTGTTGCAATAGCTGCCGCCATCGGAGAGCAGCGACTCCTGGCTGAGCTCATGCGGCAGCTGGCCGGAGCTGCTTAGGAAAAAGCTGGCACTCGAATGTCGCTGGGTCTCCAAGAAGCGAGCCTCCTCGAGCCGCTGCTGGGTGTCGGCAAACTGCTCCGGCTTCAGTATGTCTGAGAGCGAAACTTTGCGCTCACATTGATAGATCTCCCTATAGACATAGTATTGAGCGCGTGGCGGAGTCGCAGTCGGTGTCGACTTGTCGCTTGTGCAGTCCATAGCACGCAGATTGGCCGGCATGGAGCAGGAAGCGGGCAGTGCCGGGTATCTCGATGGCTCATCAAGATCACCATATTTGCGCGTTATTTCATCAATCATCTTTTCGGTGTCCGCATGAATCATATCCAGAATGGTGCGTGCATCATCGGCATAGACCGAATGCCGCTTGGGCTCGACGGGCGCTGCTCGCTCCGCTTCCATTGACCATTCCACCTCCTCGTGCACAGGCGAAACAGGACACGATTTATAGTGCTTGAGAATGCTCGGAGTGCGTCGATTGTTGCCCGCCGGATTACGTTTGACAGCACTCGGTCGAGGCGTGGTCTTTGCTTGGGCCTGTCTCGAGGTTAAGTAAGTGGCAGCGCCATGGCTAAATGGCACGCCCGGCGGCGGATGGATCTGGTGAACGCCCACATGATGCGGATAGGGCGGGTAGTGCTGCTGCACTTGACGCATGGTCTGAAAGTTTTGCTGTAGCTTCGACTTGGACGCGGCGCTATTAAAGAACTGCTGCACAGAGCAACCGTACTGCTGAGGGTACTGCTGTTTCGGGGTTGGTGGTTGCTGCTGATGCGCTACAGTTGTCGCACTTGATCTAATATACTGTGAATTATCGTGGGAATCAACTGGTGGGGTTATTCAACAAGTTCAAATAGCAAAAAACATAAACATGTGTTCAGCATTTGTTTCCAAATGAATTCATTTTACCAACATATTTCGGGCCATTGTGAGCGCAATAGGGGTGAGAGAGACAAAGAAATGGAAAAAGAGAGAGAGAGAGGGGAGAGAAAGGGCGAGGCAAAGTATTGCAAGAGTTGACGGATTAGCCTACGTTTTGTTACTGTTCAGGAATACATCAAAGCTAGCTCCAAACTCGAGCGACCAAAGCGACCGATGCTTACCTGGCTTCGTATAGCGCGAGGCTCCCGTACTGCGTGAGCCGTCGAAGTTTGCCGCTAGGCTTAGATCTGATATGCTATGGCTGCCACGCAGTGGTCTATGGCCCACCTGTCAATAGAGAGAGAGAGAGCGAGAGTTAATTATATTAATTAATAATAATTATTGCTTTTTAAGTGCATATGCTGGGCATTATGAAACTTATCTGTTGTTAAACAGCGATTTGCTTAGTATTTTATAGCATTTTATGATGTTAAGATGTAACTATGCAGCGTAAGCAAATGTCAACTTTAATTGTCAGTCAAGCAGTTGACACTTGTTAATCAATGTCTGCTGTAATATTTAGTTTATTTTATGATCATTCTAGGTAAAATCCTACCTCATCACACTATATATATACAGAGCATTTTGACTAGTTAATGCTATCTATAAACTGATAGAGCGAGCTGTAAACAACTTAATAAATTATTTATATCCTTTCAAAACAAATAAACTTTTAGTGGGGATATTCAACAGGCTAAAAACTTGAGCTAGCAAACTGACAGCCGAGTAAACAATTTACACAAATTTATATAATTAATATCTGTTTAAAATTACTCTTAAGTATTCATAAGAGCTATGCTCAATGGGTAAACAAATTGTTGTACGAAACTTTAATATAAACTTGATAGAGAATGAAAAATACTAAATATCATAAATATAGAAAATTTGTTTAGGATTTACTAGAATATGCAAAACTAAAACATACAAACTCTGGTCAAGTATATATATTATTCTTAACTTAATAGAAAAGCTAATCACAAATATTGCTGCAGAAACCCTTTTAAAGGGCATACAAGAAGGGAATATTTTAATTTTACAAGAAAACCCACAATATACAACTCTGTTTCTTTTTTTTAATAATTCTAAATATATATGCTAAATGTATTCATTAAGTTCATTATGAATATGGTTTGTGGCGCACTTTGTTATAAACTCTATAAGCAGTTATGTATAGAATGAAGCACTATAATGAATGCAGTTATAGAGAGAAGCTCAAATGTGTGTGACAGAGTAATTTCTTATGTTATCTTAAATTAAGCCATTTAACAATTATTCTATTTTATCTATTCTATCAAGTGAAACTGAGTGTCATATTCTCTTTATGTTTCCATATGCACAGAAGTTAATTTTCATGATTTCTTGGCATATTCTCTCATCTGCCAACAATCTAACTAATAAGTCTCTCTAATAATTGCCCGTGCTTCTAACATAAGGGCAACATATTTACTCGAGACTAATATAGCTATCATAAATATAGCTAATTATCCCTTGAAAACCTGTTCAGTTACAGTTACAGTTTAGTAATAATTGCAATTATTTATTAATAAATTATTTTGTTTTCGTTAAATGAAATGCAAATTTTGTGGAGAACTCGGCGTTGTTGAATGAGTATGCAATATAGACAAGGCAAGTATCAGTCGTAAAAGCAGCAACAAAAAGTAATTTAGTTTTTAACTGCGTTTCAGTTCTCACCTCAGCTATGGTATTTAACTTTTTAATGCCATTTTTGTGCGTACCCTAAGCATTTAAGTTTGTTTTTGTTTTGGTTTTTGTTTTATAAGTTGGGTTGACATTTGATTCATAAGAACACATAAAGAAAACAAAACAAAACAAAATGGGAAATAAGACATAAAAACAAAACAAAACCGCCTGAGATATTCAATTGTGAATTCCCACTCACATTCTCCAGCTGCTGTTTGACCTTGTTGATGACCTGCAGCAGTTCCTCTTTCTTGGTGCTCGTGTATGACTTCGTAATGGTAGGCGGTGCTGAGACCTTTCCGTTTTCATTGTTATGCTTGGCGCTGATGCTGCGACGACCTGCGACGTTACAAATGAAACCAAATTAGATTTAATATTAAGGAGGAGCACGTTAGGACACGCTGCTTACTGCTTGTGCCGCGCTCTAGCAACGTGCCAGGACCCTCGGGCAGCGCCGCGTGTAGAAAGCTGTTGCTGGTTTGCGGCAGGTTCTCCGAGCTGCCGCCCAGCGTCGAGGCCAACGAGCGCTCTGCATTTTCCGCACTGGGCGTTGAGCCCTCATCCTCAGTATCCGATGTGCCAGTTCCTGTGCCAGTGCTCGCCGTGTGGGTGCTGCCATTGCCACTGGCCACCGTGGTCAATTGTAGGCCGGATTTCTCAAACTTCTGTCGACGCACCGATTTACGCAGCTCTTCCTCATTCATGGCGGTCACCTTGAAGTCACTGTGCATAAAACAAAATAGTTAGCATTTTATTGTTAAGTTTTCATATCATTAAATTGCCCTATTGCGAGAGTCTAATAAACTTGCTTAAGTTACTTTGAATAAACAAAACCATAGTCGAAAATGTTCTCAAGATATGCTGTTCAAAACGACTTGAACTATGTATGCACAGCTCTATATAGATCCGAGTTAATTGTAATCTGTCCACCTAGTCAGAGCCGACCTTAGAGCATGTCACACAAAAACGACACAGATGAAGAATCTGCATTTGATGTGCTTAATTCGAATCTCAACCATTCCCATCGTTGCCAGCACAGCCCCCAAACTTACGTTGGCGTGCTGGGTGCCATATTATTGTAGAACATGCCATGATCCGAGCTGGTGCGTTCCCCATCTGATATATCCTCGATATCGCCGTCATGATCGTGGCTGTGCGTATCGAAGCGCATGCCAGGCTTGCGCTTGTCGAGCTGCAGCCGCTGTTGAGCAACGCTGCCAGCAGTCGGAGTATTTGTGCTGGAGGTAATAGTTGAGATGTTGGAGATTGTGCCATTATTGTTGCTGCCAATGAACTTCAGCTCTCGTCGCGTCTCCATGCCCGAGTCAATTGATGAGTCTTCGCTTAAATACGTCTGATTGTACATGATGTCCTTGCTGGAGGCGCTATTGTAGTCGGAGGTTGGTATATTATGACCGCCAACGGAAGACACAGTGCCCAGTGGACTCTCCGAGTTGGAGCGCATATCCTCTGTTTCCAGAGCTTGGCTGCTGCGCTGCGCCCAACGCCCACGTGCGCGTGGCGCTGCCACGCCCAGCTGTTGACTAGGCGACGAGCTCAAGTTGCCCATGGACGAGGCTGCATGCATGGTCGCAGATGACAAGGCGCTATTGATAGGCGTGGGTATGGACAGAGCGCCGCTATCCGAATCGGCCGCCTTACGCATAGCCCACTGTGGCAGCTGACCCACGTCGGACAGTCGATACGCATGGCGATTGGCTTGCTGTTCCTCAGCCACTACAAACTTGGGCGGCAGCTGTTGGTGCTCAAGCTCGCTGCTGGGTGACTCCACCACGATGGCATCGGGCGGCGAAATTGGCGCCAATGGACGCTGCAAGGGCGCAATGCCCGAGCGCAAGCGTTGCTGGGACATGCGCGCCTGCATTGTGACAATCATGTCGTGCGGCACCTGCCAAATGAAGATGCAGCCATCGCCACTGGCCGAAATCAGATGGCGACAGTCATTGGTGAACTTGAGGCCCGTCACCAGTTCGCTGTGGCCGTACATGCGCGCCATGCACTCGCTGGAGTAGTAGTCATAGACGGCGAGCGTCTTGTCCGTGCAGGAGGTGGCCACGTAAATGCCGCTGGGATCGAGGCTTAGCTTGATCAAACTGCCCTCGTCCGAGTGGGAGCCTTTAAAGGTTTTTGTTTGCTTCGCATTCTGCGTGCCATAGACGCGCACGTTGCGATCTTGACAAGCAGTCAGAATATGTTTGGCATTCGAATCGACTTCCATGTCGTATAGCGTTGTCTTGCCAGAGGTGTTGGTGCCGCGCATGAAGATGTTGCCCTGGTGAACAGAATGATTTAATGATTTAATCTGAAATCGGATAAGAGTAATGCACACTTACCTGAAAGCTTCTAAACATTATAGACTTGTCGGCGCCGCAGCTGATCATTTGAAAGTTTAGACCAGAGCCTACAAATTTGATGGAAGTGATCGATGAGCTGTGGTCATCCAATGTCTGAAGCAACAAATAGTTTTGCGACACATCGAAGACGTGAATCAAACGATCGCGACTGGCACTGGCCAGCAGCTTGCGCTCGATCTTTTCATTTGAGTACTCCAGGCACAGCACTTCTGACTCATGCGCCTCTATGGTGGTCAAGAGCTTCAGATTGTGCAGACTGTAGACCCGTATGTTGCCACATCGATCGCCGCTTGCCAAGTGCTGGAGCTCAGGACTAATCTTAATGCAGCGCACGCCATTGCGGCCGTCATAGCTCGAGTTGCCCACCTTGTCGAAGAGCGACGAGCCCTGGTCTTTGATGTACTGCAAGTCCTCGTCGCTGTAGATGATCTTGAGTAACTCTTTGGAATATATGTTTTTGCGATATATCTCATTGTTGGCACAACTGTCTAAGCCCCACACACGAATCGTGTCGTCCGACGAGCATGTGACGAAACAGTCCTCTGGCAATGTTTGCGAAGATTCACGCTCCACATTATATGGCACAGTCTCCACGCCCCAAATGCACGTGGAATGATAAAGGAATGAGTGGGATTTGCCCACTCGCGATATGTCGCGCAGATCCCAAATGTAGAGCGAGTGATCGTTGTAGACGCAGCTGACCTGGGGATATCAAATACACTTTAGTTCTAGTTGCTCTCGACTGGAGTTGAAGCTCATACCTTGGAGCGCTGCTCGTCAAAAACCATGGCAATACAATCTGGGAACTTGGCTTGCTGGGGCACAGACATAATATGATTGATCTGTATACCCTGGGAAACGTCTACGCCCAGGTAATGTGTTCTGGGCAGCGTCGTCACATACTCCAAAGTGGAGGCATTGAAGATGCGTATGATGGACTCGGCACAGCCAACAAGTATGAAGCGTTCGTTGACGCAAATGCAATTGGCATTGCTGGTGCGGCATTGCACCCACTTGTCGAGCAGCCGTCTCGAGCTGAACTCCACCAGGTGACCCTGCCGTGTAATGGCATAGGTGCTCTCCGAGCAGATGCCCTTGCCGCAGGCGACGGCACAGAAATCATTGTCGCGCAGATCGCCCAAAATAGCACTGCGTCCCATAAGTGGAATTGGATCTTTGTACTGTAAACGAATTCGCATTACTCTCAGATCAGTTGTCGTTTATTGTGTTATGTTACTCACCTTGCGTCCACCCTCCAAGTACCAGTATTTGACATGACGATTGCCCACGGTGACAAAGTAGCTGCCATCTTCGGCAAAACATACTGCTGCCACCTTGGAGCTAATCTTGTTGGATGCCATTTTAAGATTGGCGCGCCAATCGAACACATTGACAATCATGTCGTGCTGCGAGCCCACCGACACCAGGTACTTGCCCGTGGGCGAGAATGCCTGCAAAAGTGGAAGTAGTGCAGAAGGCAATGAAATACAAGTAGAGTAAGGCAACGGGCAGCTGTGGACTTACCACACAGGTCACGGCGTATTTGTGATCTACGAACTCGGCAATAACTGTGCCGCCGCTGCAGTGCTCCAGATTGCCATTGGGCGTCTCTAGTTCCCAAACTTTGATGGCAGGATTGATGCCGCACTCGCCGGTGGCCACATAGCGACCGCAGCGCGAGAAGGCAACTGATGTGAATGCTTTGCGGGAGGTATTGACCAGATAGGCCTGTGTATGACGCTTGGCATTGAACAGGACCACAGTGCAGCTGTACAGGGCGAGAAGCAGCAGCAAAATATATATGAAAATATTTATATTTGGAATATGTGTGCGCTGTGAGCACTTGAGAACGACCATGGCCTGGCTCTAGCACACAGCGTGTGCTCTATGCGCTTCCAGCGAATCGTTTCTCGAATTCCATTCAATTTTGGCTTGCAGTATGGCAAAACTCTTTCAATAAAACTGTCACTAATTAATTAGTTAGCTATTAGTCATTGGAAGCCCACACTGAACTCACAATTAATCAAAAATTTCGATTTTATTTGAGTGTTTATCCTTATTAGGGCCGCTTTAAGCGCTGTCATAAAACTAATTTGAGTGAAGGCTAAAGCATAAATTAGCTAATTCTTTAGCTTATATTCAACTTGAGTCAGCGTTTAAGAGTTGTCTAAGTTCAAGGACTTACCCTGCAGGATAGGCCAGCAGACCACTGACTGGCGACACATCGAGTGCCGCATTGCTGCAAACAGTTAGACCCAAGACCCTTTTGAGTTTTATCTGCAATGAAATAGTAAAAAAAAAAACATAAGTATATGATATAAATATTACAAATATATACACATTGGAGGAAAAAATAATAGCATCACACAGATACATCTATTTATTGATAAAAATACATTTTTGTAGATAATTTTGCGAGTAGTAGAAGTCACAGATTCCGTAACTGCGAATGGCTGTAGCCTACCACTTCAAAGTATTGCGAAATTCAATAAAAAACTCTAATTTATTTTAACACTTTTTTATTTCCAAATATATATGGCTAAAACAGCTAAAGTATTTGAACAAAGTACAACATTTCAAAACAATAACTAAGTAAACAAATACTAAATTCCATTCAAGGCAAACTGTAATTCGCATGATGCTATGCATTAAGTTTTATGTATAGAAATATTAAGTATACGTCATACGAAAGAAGATAATAAATGCTTGGCTTAAGCCTTGCTAAAAGCGCTAAAATTCAATAAATAAAATAAAAACTCAAAATCTTTTCGCATGAACATAAAGAACGTTATTGACCCACATTTAAGGCGGCCAGAAATATATAGAATAATCCCAAATCATCTATACTCAATGGAAGACTCAGGCGTAAGACTTCATGTATATCGCTTCTGTTGATACAAAGTGTGTGATGTACATAATTGATACATATGTGTGCTTGTGGCTTAAGGACAGGAAGTACGAGTCAAGTGTTTTAATGGCAATCGTGACGCAGTTGCACAAGTCAGGCGGCATGTCCATATATACATTTATATAGAGAGCGAGCTATAGCTTTCGATACGTGTATGTGGGCGAGCAGCTTGAGGCACTGCAAATCGCAATACCAATTAAATAGTTCAAACAGAATCGAACAAAAACTCATTAAACACCCGTGGCATGATTTTGCGTCGCACTCAGGGGGAAAGAGAGGGAGGACAGGGAGAGGGGGAGATATATCAGACACCTATCTGAGATCATCTGGTTAGCAGAATTCAAGAGGAATGTGAGAGCCTTTGACTTGTTTGTTTTTCAAAGTCAGTGCTTAAAAAATATATTTATTTATATATATATATATATTTATTTATATATATATATATTTATTTATATATATATATATATATTTATTTATATATATATATATATATATATATATATCTGTCTATATATTTCAATCGCTTGTTTTACATTTGAGCTGCCACCAACGCAGCTACGAAATATTTCTCAATGCAAAAGGTCGTTGTGAACCGGTTTATTCTAAAGCTATTTTCAGCTATTTGCATTCGTAATGATCATAATATGCCGTGAAATTGTAAACACTTTGTGCCTAGCTAGAAAATTGAAATGTGAAAAAAGAAGGCGGGCAATGAAAAGTCAAAAGGAAAGCGTGCTTAAAATATAGACATTCCGTACGCAGTATAACTAAAACGAGGCTTTGACATCCGCGCTACATATGACGCTGGAGAAATTTTAATGAAAACATTATAAGTGACCAAACAAATTATGCTGTGACATTTTGCTGATAAAACAATGTTTAATAATGGAAAATAGCCTGAACTTGTCAGGCACCTTACTCTGAGAGTAATCAAGTTTACTAAGAAATTATGAAATATATTTAAGATCTTCATTGTAGATAAAAGTATCAAAGTTTCCTTTAGCAAAATTTAACACTTCCTTTGAAATTGATTGGATGCAAATGCTCTGAGGCTGAGAGTTAACGAACTCATTTGAATAGCAACAAAAATGATTATAAACCAATCCAGCGGCAAGGTCGAAATATGACCTAACAGAACAGTTTTATGAAACCTGTTAAGGTCAAGTCTAAGATCTTCTCGCCTTCAAAAATTATATAAAATCTTATATATCGTCAATTCGTTACAGCTCTCGTATCATAAAGATAAAGAGCTGTTCATTAACATATATTCCCTTTTTTGACAGTCTACCTTTATGAGTTAGATATCAATAGTTATAAAGATAGTTACACAGTTTAACACCTAAAGATACTTCTATTGATACACTCATATAGATTCATTTTATTACTCTCTTTAAATTCAAGTTCAGGCTCAGTTTGAAGCTAATTATGAGATCTGCCTAGCTCTGGGTCGCACGAAAAACATTTGATCAAAATAACAACTCAGCGGCGCAAAGTTTTACTTTACTTCTCTTACCCAGAGGTGGCAAAACAAACAAAAATGTATTTATTTAATGTTCGTCAAGCGGAAGATGCTTATTGTCTTCGTGTTACCCATTTTTCAAATGCAAGGCTGTTGGCTTTCGACCATGGCTATGACAAATCGAAGCAGCTTATACGCACTTAAGCATATTTTTGGTTTGATTCGCAAAAGGAACTCGTGACAAGTTGAATGCACCAAAATTCCTTCAATTGAGACGGCGGCTTAGGCCAAGAGCAGACTTGGCGCTTGTTGAAATGTGCCAAAAATTCTGATGGCTTAGACGGAATGCGACGCCATGTGGGCTGGTGACACATTTCTGAGTGCTGCCCACACACTAGAAGCCACAACAAAACATCAAAAGCTGCGTTTTCAATTCCGTGACAACGATCTCAAATATTTGCATGACAGGTGTCAGCAATTTCGAGCAATTAATAGATGCGAGTGTGTGTGTGTGTAACTAGTTAATGCCTCTTGGGAAGCTTGTTTAGTTATGAATATATGCTTCCAAATTAACTTCAAATAATTCAAATGTTAATTAAAACTCACATGAATCAAAAGAATATTAATTAGTCGGACTTATATAAATTAAATTTAAATGAAGAAGAATTAATGAAGATGATGTTTAAATTATTAAAATCATTGAATTCCACTTGGGTATACCTCATAAGCTATACTTTATATATATGTGAATTATAATAATAATATATAATAATTTAGAATCGAATGATATTCATTTATAAATTCATTGATTCGTGAATAAAGGGCCTTTAACTATGTAAATAGAACACTTGAAACACATAAAAGTGTGTGAGATTAGAACAAACATTTGCCAACTCGAAAGTCCAAATCGTACTAAAGAGTATAAGTCTCTTGAATATAGTAAGCAAAAGGTAGACTTTATATATATAAAAATACAGACAGACAGAGAGAGAGAGAAAGAGAGGGACATATATTGGGACAGAAACTAATATTTATTTAGCCAACTAGTAAATAAAACAATTCGAGAGAGTATATAGAGAGATAGAGAGTTAGAGACGCAATATCTGAGTGCGGGGTATGTCAAAGTGCGTCACTTATGGACTAACACGAAACTTACTTAACTATAACTTCTCTTATGCTTCTTTTTAGTACGTTCTCAGTGGACACGTTTTTTACATTTCTAATTTGCGCTGGTTGGTCGGCGAGTTGGTGCTTCGACCAGCATACGCAAACAAACGTATAAATCATCAACAAACATAGCATAGCTTTTCATATATATACAAGTATATATATATATATATATATATATATATATATATATATGCTTATATATCAGATAGAGATACATTTGTGTCAATGGACGTGAGCAAAATGCTTTATGCCTGGCCTATAGCTATTTTTTGGCAGCCTTTCGCTCGCTCTCCGTAAAGAGATTCAAATGGTATTTGGAGCTTCCTTGACATTGTCTCGACATTCCGTTTCAGCTTAGAAGTTGCCGAGATGCAGCATTCGAAAAATTAGCTATCAGCAATGAGTAACAACTAATTGCCCATAATTACGGGCGGCAGCAGCGACAACAACAGCAGCAAAAGTTTGCAATTTTTCATTGGTTTATTTGAATAGCTTTTGGCTGGCCCACACAACACACATGGCCCATGGACTGGTTCGATAGACAAACGGAACCAAACCACAAAAACTCATTACCAACTTTTTTTGCTGTTGACCACACAGCATAGAATAAAGTTTGCAAAATTGTTGTTGTCCCATTTACCTCATAGGCGGCTATCTCCTCCTTGCCATAGGCGGCAACTGGCGACGAGTTTCGTGGTGCAAACATTTTGTCTGATAATGCATAACACTGAGTATGGCTTGAGTGTATATTTAAGCTCAACTTAATTATAATTATTTATTATTATTATTTAAGTGGAACGGAGAGGGAGAGAGATGGAGACGCCCACAATTAGTCACTTTTATATATAGATATATTTATATATAAATATATATATATATATATACTTTATAAATTCGATTTTTTTGTAATTTTATTATATTCAATAAATAATACTTTTTCGGTTATTTTGCACTGTTTTCAACTGTGACTCAATATGACTAGTCTTAATATTTTGTTTTATTTTTTTCTGCTACTTTTCAAGGTCGTTGCTGTTCGCTTTTATTTGAAGGAGACTTTTGGCTTTTTGGCAATTCGATTCACTTGGCTATTTTATATTGAAGACTTTGCTTCTTAATATGCTCCATTTTTCCACATTCTAAAATATAAATTTGTGGTTTCATTTCTAATTCGTATTTTCGTTTCACTTTGCTTGATTTGGTTTCGCTGCAAAATTTTCTTTTGCGTTAATAAATTCTTAATGCTTGCTCGATGACCCGTTCTATTCCCCTGTTGTTCTTGTTGTTGTTTTGTAATTATCGTTGTTGTTGTTGTTGTTGTCGGCCGTTGTCGTTGCGAATCTATTAGATACGTTTCGTTATTAGCGCGACTCAAATGAAACTGCTGAGATTTCTAACCGCGTACAAAACGACTTCGTCATCGAGACAGAGATATGGACAGAGAGACACAGAGACACAGTGAGAGACAGAGAGAGAGAGAGACTTAAAGCTGTCATGCCACCTTCTCAGTCTACACGGCGATTGGATATTTGAGAGACGGCATTTGAAAGCTCTTTGCGTACGTGTATCTCATGAATACTTATATGCGCTGACTTTCAGTCACAGCCTTTGGAGCTACGAGTTCCGCTCTTTAATTTGCATGTTTTGAAAACAAGTTTTTTTTGTTTGTTTGTGTTTCTGTTTTTTTCGGCGGGGCGTGTACTGCACTCAAAGCACGATAAACAAATCGTGGCGCGATCGCTT